TCTATCTATCTATCTATCTATCTATCATCTCTCTCTCTCTCTCTCTCTCTCTCTCTCTCTCTCTCTCTCTCTCTCTCTCTCTCTCTCTCTCTCTCTATCTATCTATCTATCTATCTATCTATCTTATCTATTGGATTGTTGGGGGCGATATGCTGACTCTGTAAACCGCTTAGAGAGGGCCGAAAGCCCTATGAAGTGGTATATAAGTCTAACTGCTATTGCTATTGCTAGGTGGCTGTTGGTTGACTTTGGTTTGTGCTAGTCTCCCGACAGAGTCTGGTGGGGTAACACTGGCATTGATGGGCACAAAAAGCGTCTCCCTTTTTTCCTGGAATGCTCGTGTCACTACACAGGAGAGAACTTAGGCCTGCCCCGTGGTGAGTTTCCATCTTACCCGAAGCTCCCTCCTGTCTATTGAGAACACTCCTCAGTGGGGCCTAGAGAAAATGCACATTTTGTGTTATGAAGTACGACTCTGTGTTGCAAAAATGAATTAAAAGGAGAAGTATATTGCGGTGTGGTACCTCCCCTGCTATTCTGAGCAAGACCTGGCCCTATTCCCCAATCCCTTCCACGCAGACATCGGATGAAATCTGTTTTCTGCCATGTCTGCTCTAGTATATGAATAGGCACTGTGCATCTCAACTCGTTCATTCATACTTTCATGTATTTTCAATTTCTATAGCTGCCCATCTCAATCAATAGGTGGCTCACAATCCCAAAATTATTTTAAAAAAACCTAAAACAATAAAGAAGCATTTTAAGAACAATAAAAACATCCAAAATAAATACACACACTAGCCGAGATAGTTAGGCAGTAAATGGTAAACTCGGGAAACGGGGATTTAAACCCATTCAGGGCCTCAGGCGTGGGAATACAGCCAGGTTTTAAGAGCCTCACAAAAGGCCATCAGAATTGGAGGTCATTCTGATCTCCGAGGGGAGGATATTCCACAGAGCAGGGGCAGAAAAGGCCCATCTTCTAGTCACTGTCAGGTGACGCTCTGTGGCTGATGGGATCTGCAGATTCCCAGTCTGCTGGATCAAATTGGATGGGCGCAGATTCTTGGGAAACTCTCTTTTAGACTGACTTGCCCTCCAGGATCACTTTGGGAAGTTCCCTACCAGCAACACTTGAACTGACAGGCGCTCTGGAACTGTCAGAAAGGGACCTATTGTTTTGTTTTCTGGCAATCTGGAGAAATATTTCCCTCTTCTTGCATTCACAAGATCGCTTGGAACCCTTTTTAATCTTCAGCGATGTACATCCAGGCTGCATATTTTAAAGGCACGGCCGGTCAGTCAGTGAAACAGGCTAACACGTGTAGTGGGGAAATTTTCCCCTGAAGGTCTTCATGTATAGAAATTCAGCGATCCTCTGCTCTAGCGGTTGTAATGAATCCTGCACTGAACCGGGGGGTGGGCTAGATGTCCTTTGAGGTGCCTTCTAGCACTGCAATTTCTGTGCGAGTGCCAGCACCAGGGAAGGTTCTGGGGCTGACTCTCTGCCGGCTTCACTCTCTCGCAGGGCTCTCCACCTTGGTGGTCTTGTCAACAGGGATGGGGAAATCTCTCTGCTACCAGCTCCCTGCCTATCTCTACAGCAGACGGTCCCCCTGTGTGGCTTTGGTGATCTCCCCTTTGGTGTCGCTGATGGACGATCAAGTAAGCTGGGATGCGCCCTTGGGTTGGCAGCTGGGGTGGGTGGGGGAGGCTGTAGGGTGACACCTTGAATCGGTGCTGGTCGTCACCTTTAAAGCCCTACATGGCCTAGGACCCGGGTATCTGTGAGACCGTCTTCTGCCACATACCTCTCTCCAGACCAATAAGATTGCACAGGATGGGCCTTCTCCGGGTGCCGTCAGTGGGACAATGCCGGCTGGCGACGCCTAGGAGTAGGGCCTTCTCTGTTGCCGCTCCGGCCCTGTGGAATGAGCTGCCCCCTGAGATCCGGGCCCTACCCACTCTCATGGCCTTTCGCAAAGCCATTAAAACCTGGCTTGTTGCTGATTTCTTTATTGGGAGGAAAGTCCTGTCCAGGTTCAAGCACTCAGGGATGCTATGAATTTTAGAGTGAGTTTCACAGGCTTGCATATATAGCAGTGGTGGGATTCAGCCAGTTCACACCTATTCG